GTCCACAGGGTACACATTCTTCCCGATGAGGTCCTTGAACATGATGAAGGTCTCCATCAGGAAGTCCTGAAAGAGTGGAGAAAACACGCCAGTCATCAGCCTTGCAGGTAGGAAGTGACTTCAAGTGTCCAGGTCACGTGGGCTATTACAATGTTTCCTTTATTATTATTATTATTTTATATATAGAGAAAGAAAGGTAAGGGGATCAATTCTTCATTGAAGCTAATTCAGGGAAATTCATTGCCATGCATTGTAAATAGAAGCGTAAAAGTTGGCTTCTGAGAGGCTGTTTCGCAAATAAGTAGAACATGAATATGGAATAAGGAGACAATCTCAAAATAAAGCACTATTAATTCTGTCTTTGAGAATAAAGAAGTAAATGTATTCATCGATGTGGCAATGTTATAATCATCTTCCCAAATATGTATTTGAGCAGAAAATAATCGACACCATATGAACACATCTCAGGCCATTTAGCAAATAAACTATTATTTAAATGAGCATCTAATTAGCAGTGGTGTAAACACAGCTATTTCATCTGTCACACACACACACACACACACACACACATATGAGCAGATTAGAGAGAGCATAGGAACCAGGACTCTCCTTCCCTCCTTTGGAGAGGTTCAAAGTGACTTCAACACACTCTCTCAGATTTTGCAATGGGACAAACTTGGCCTCCATCTTTGCAGAAAACAAATTCAGTACAAATCCAGATAGCGAAGACCCAGAACCTGTGACCCTCTTGAGCTGGAAGTAATAAAAACCATATCGCTTGAATGCTTTAGGTGAAGCCTAAAATCCAGAGGGAGTCCCTTCAGAATTCTTTCCATGAGCAGTGGTTTTCAAATCATCCTGACTGCAGAATTCTTTGTTCAAAGGAAATCTCACCTGGAACCTAATATTTGAAATAGATAAACGTAGATGGGCTCTGTGTGTGTGTGTGTGTGTGTGTGTGTGTGCGTGTGAGAGAGAGAGAGAGAGAGAGAGAGAGAGAGAGAGAGAGAGAGAGAGAGAGAGAGCAGAGTGCAGCTAGTAAGAACATAATTTGAAAATCACTGCTTTAAGATAAATTGCAAAATTCTGGAGATGGCATTGGTTCTTTCCCAGCAGTCTCTGCTTCTAGGAAAAATGGCCTCAGTGTTCTAAGTCCCAGCTTCCACATCAGCAGAATGGGGGCAGCATCTATCCCCAAGGGTCCGCACAGTGACTAGGTGCACCTGGGAGCTTAGCACAGAGGCTTGGAGCCAAGAGCTCCTTAATGCTGGAGATGTTAATGGCAGAGATTGTTATTCACCCTTGATGTCACCTGGGCAAGTGTGGCTCTCGTCCCAGGCACACCCCCTTCCTACGGGATGGAGAAGGCTTCTGGCTCACAGATGGACAAAGTGGCTTCTGACTGAAAAGATGCATGTAGTGTGAGGGGCAGAGCTGAGGTTCAAGGTGGACCTCGGGCATGTTGGTCCTGTACTGCTGTGGAGCCTTCGTCAAGAAGACTGTAGAGCTGAAGCAAGTGACTCCTAACACCCATGTCATAGTGCTAGGAGAATCAGATAAGAAAGTGCGTATGTTCAACAAGTAAGAATTCCCTTCCCCACCTTCCTTCCCAGGAATCATTGTTTACATAAAAGATCAAAAATTAGGAATCTGGTTTTCCTATTTCCGTGTCCCAAGACATAAAGAACTTGGTGGGGGTGGGAGAAAAACTGGGGTTATTCCTTTTATTTGTCTTTTGAGTATCCAGAATAGGGTTCCATTTCTTTCCAACCCTACTTCAAAGAGGAGAGCTTTGGCTCACTGCTGGGGTTGGGGGTGTTGGCTCCCAGTCATTCCCTGAGGAGGGGCCACTCTCTGAGGGTGGTCCAGGCTCAGCACCCTTGGTCTTCCCAGGAGAATTAAGAGAGCTCCTAGCAGCAGGACTCCTGCCCCTGGAAGTGGTGAGTGACAAAGGGCCACACTGACAGGAGAGGGTCCTCTGCTATACCCTGGGACAGGGCAGCTAGGGTGGGCCTCTCTGTTGTATCTGCTGCAGAGCCGATGGCCATGGGGCACGGGGTGGTGGTCCTGTAGCAGCTGAGTCCTGAGAGGCTAGAAGAGGCTCAGGGATGGGGATGTAGCTCAGTGGTAGAGCACTTGAGGAGCATCCGCTAGGCCCTGGCTTCCATCCTCAGCACAGAAAAGAAAGAAAAAAGAGACCTGGGCTCAGGGCAATTTCTTCTAAGCACTATCATAACCTAATACTAGCTATCTCTCCTGGGTACTCACAATGTGAGCAATACAGTGCTCCCACCCAAGCCCCTCAGCATACCCTGAAACCCAATCAAATTATCCCCACTTTACGGATGGGGAAACTGAGGCTTATGAGAGGTTCTCTTGCCCCTGGTCACACAGCTAGCTGGTGACAAAGCCAGGATTCAAATCCAAGACTGCATGACTCCAACTCTTGCTCTTAGGCTGCAAGCGTCCAAGATTTACCAGCACCTATTTATTGAGCCACATCTAGATCACATGGTAGATGTCCATGACTCGACTCTGACATGATTGAAGACATGTTCCAGAGTGAGAAATACAAGAGACAGGAAATCAGACATGCTCATAAACACGCCCAAGACCTGCAGGGACGTCTTGTGTCCTAAACTCATGAGAACCATGAGAGCCAGGTGTCACGTCCTGCCCACCCGCCCTCCACCCCCAGCGTCTCTCAGACTCACCACAAGGTCTGAGCTGGTGTGGAAGGTCTCGATGTAGAAGGAGTAGTGTTGGTCACCCATCTGGTTTAGGATGGCCGTCATACATGCCACGAAGTGACTCTGCAAGACATAAAGAAAAATACCACGGACAAGTGAGAAAGGACCATGGGATTCATCTCTCCCATTTCCTTGACTCTAAACTGGAAAATGCTCAACCTTCCCCAGCAAGTGTCACAGGGCCGTCCAAGGACAGGGACTCTCTCCTCACTGGATGAGTGTGTGAAATTTGCCTAGGGGAAAATGTCTCCTTACAGCGCCTTCATGGAATCAGCCTTCACTGAGCACCTATGATGCCCCTGCAGCAAGCACCGCAGGTATGAAAATAAGAGCCGACATGTGACCTCTCCTGCTATTTGTACTTTGGGAAAAGAGCGGTGGTGGGTGTTGGGAGATTCAGCCGAGGTGGGGCTCCTGGAGTTGGTTTCACTTCCTGTTAAATAATTTTACATGGGAAATCCCAGTTATCTCATCTGTAAAGTGGGGCAATCATCCATCCATCCATCCATCCATCCATCCATCCATCCATCCATCCATCATCCATATCTCCCACTAGAGAATTATCAAAAGGATCTGATAATCAAAGCAAGTTATTTATTTGTATGTACCAATGTGCCTCAAGGAAACCTGTTCTTCTGTAGAATTGACATGCGCTAATAAGCAAAAAAGGATCCACTGGATCCGAGACCACCCTGAAATCCCATTAGGGTTCCCTGTGGAGGGACCAGTTATTGGATCATTATGAAGGAGCCAGAGAAGTCGGCAACCTAGGGTGGGATAAGAAAGGAAGGGATGGAGCCTGCTGTCCAAGAGTTGATGGTCTCATTGGGAAATCATGACTGAATTCAGGAGAGAAAAAGTTCAAGATCCTGAAGAATTCAGACAAGAGGGAAACCGAGGCGGAGAGCTGGAGAGGTCTGGAAGGATCCCTGGGAGCAGAGAGGAAGGGAATACACCCTTTCACGCACCATAGACCTCAGCTTGGTCTCTCTTGCCATCTCTCTCCCAGACTGGCAGGGTCAGCTTTAGGGTGGGAGACCTGGTCAAGGAAGCATTAGCCACTGAGCCAGCAGCCAGGAGAAGCTACTCTGTACCGCCCCTGTACGATCCCCTGGGGGCTGCCATCTTGGCCAGAGGCAGGTCCATTGTGGTCCAGCCCAGTGCAGACAATTGGAGATGGACTGGCACTGTCATGCCGGTGTCTCTAGGGACCCCCACTCCAAGAGTCCTTAGAAGTTTTATGTTTGGAGGCGGTAGGCTTGGAAAATTTATGTTTGAACCCCAAACTGGGGCTGGTATCACACACTGCTGCCTTTGTTTATATAAAAAGAAGTTCTTTTGTTAAAAAATATGGCAAACATTAACACCTGCCGATGGTTGAAAATTTTGTTCCCGTGGTGGGGCAGCATCCTTGGTGACCCCAGGAGACCCCTTTTGCGTTCCTCCTCAAGAACCCTTTAGGGTGACTGAATGTCTCTGAGGCTCCTGTTCACCAAAGTGGCTCCCAAAGATACAGATTGTCCTTTGCTTCTGGGTTCTCTTCAGTTGAGATCGTCTGCTTCCCCTGCCGGCAGGACCAGCTAGGCAATTTGTGGGGCCCAGAACAAAATGAAAATGTGGGGCCCTTGTTTAAAATGATTGAATATTTCAAAATAGCCCTGTGGCCTTTCTAAGCAAGGGACTCAGTATGATTAAGTGGGTCACTCACACAGGAAGCTAGCCCAGCTGGCCGGTGGGTGACCCCCACATTCACCGTAAACGCTTAGGAAACATACAGATCTGGCAGAGAGCCCCACACCAGGACTCTCAGGAACAGTGACCAGTCTACTCCATGGAGGGGACTGGCAGCGTCTACAAGGGGCCACACCCCCTGCATGGTCTGCAGCCAGTTCCTCTCTCCTGCTCAGGCAACAGCGGGTGGTGAGTTTTGAAATTATTCACCCTTTCAACCCAGACTGAACAGCCCCAGCACTGCCAACTTAACCAGGTCCATTAAGTCAAGAAATGAACTTACTTCCTGTGTATACCTCTGGCCAGCTGGATGTAAACAAAATCCTAGGGCTTAAAGGGTGTACAAGTGTGTGTGTGCGTGTGTGCGTGTGTGCGTGTGTGTATGCGCACACGATCCCCTGCCTCCTCTACTCCCTCCATCTCCTCTCCCTTCCTGGAAGAATTCCGCCTGTGGCCACTAGAGGGCCGTTCTCTTCACACAGTCGCTGCTGTGCAGTTTGTTCGGCTTATTTATTCCTACGTGAGCAGACCCACTACACTTCTTGCATATAAACAGTGAAAATTACAATATAAAGGACTTATTTTTCCTTCTTTCGGAGTTATTCTGCTGCTGGTGAAAGCCTGGCTTGTTGTGCAAGGAAGGGGGGACATCTCCGGCAGGTAATCCCACTGTTTCAAGGTAAGAGATGTGGGAAGGTTTTATTTGTGTGTGTGATGGATGATCTTCTAAGAGAAAACGCTGTTCGCCTCTTGGACGATAGTTTACTTCTAAAGCTTTGGCTTAACGGAGCGCTGGGATTGTGAGCTTGCATGGGTGTGTGTGTGTGTGGGGGGGGTAGGGGTGAAAAGCCCACCATTGTCACAACTGCTGGCTGCCCCAGATGCATAGGTATGGAATGCTTGTTATTGTCAATGGCTCAATTGGAAAGGGGGGAAATGCAAAAATCAGATCTGGGAGCTAACTTTGCTTGGAATTACCTTGAAAAGGCTGCCTTGTCTGAAGCCCTGTTTAAGGAAACTTCTATGCTTCCTTGAAAAAGAAAAAAAAAATCAAGGAGCAGGATTGCAGTCCCTATTAGAGAGAGTGACCATTTCGTGAAAGAAAACCATTATCATTTTATTAGGAGTGGGTTAGTGTGGTAGAGATTGTGGATCGATCAAAATTACTTTTACCAGCTTGTTAATTTCTTTGTTCCAACTGCCACACAGAAAACCCCAGCTGGGTGCCTTTTCCTTTCCGTAGGATTGGTGGTGTGATGTGACTGAAGTTTGCACAAGTTACCTGCATTTGGCTGTTAGTGAAAAATGACAGTGTGTGACTTCCAACTGCAGGCATCCCATTTTCCTACTGTAGTACCTAGCCCACTGTGGTATCAGACCCCTCAGAAGTCATAGCAACACCACCGATTGATACCCGAAATGGAGCAAGACACGGGTAGCAGGTTTCTGTTCAGGAAAGGCTCTGCTCTGCCATTTGAATTTTCAAAAACCACTTTGTCACAATGATAAAAGGATGGAACAACATTAGGCTTCTCTGACATGTGTCCCCTTTCCAGTAGTACCCTCAAAATGGCAACTCTGTCTTGCCCTTCTCCCTTCTTACAAGTTTGGGACCCTGCTTCTACATCACCATGACTGAAAATTTTAGAAGGAATTAGATCAGACGGCATCTGCCCTAGCAGTTGAGACAGCCCTAACATTGACATTGCTGAAACTTTATAGCAAAGGAGCTCGAACTCCAAGCCCATCAGCAACCCAGAAGAGCAGTATAATGCTGTGCGGGGACTATGGGGGTGGGGGATCCCCAGTAGTCCAGGCTAGCAAGAATCCCCCTCTTCTCATCCCTGGCAGAGATTCTGAAATGGACATATATTTACTACCAAGGCACGAGGCAGCCACTCATCCATCCCAAGCAGCATGCCAGGTGCCTGGATAGGAAATTGCTTCTTAAAACGGAATACCAGTGGAACTTGCATATTAAATTCCAGAGAGAAATTGAATCTGAGACTCTGGGGCAAACCAAGCAGAGTCACCTGGCTCCGATCGGGGTTGGTTTAAAATGTGGCTAATGAATCACAGCATGAAGAGACACGGTTTGAAACTAGGTCAAACGTGTAAAAATAAGTACAGTCATCACGGGCACTTGGCTGATGAGGGCTCTTTGACGCGGCAAGCGGCGGGGTTTATCTGCCGTGTAGGACCCTCTTCTGCATGCCGAGGTGATCAATTCTCGTAATTAATTCAGCTCATCAGTCAGTACGTGGGGAGGTCTTGCGCACCTGGGAGAGAGCTGGACCTCCGAGGGAAACAGTGGGGGTCTCTTCACTATATGGAGGCAAAAGAGAAGAGAAACCTCACACCATGTGGCCCAAAATAATTAGCTCAGATACTGAGTGATTTCCATGTGGAGAGTAGCCCTCCGAAAACCCTGGCATTCACTTCTTTGCATGAAAAAAATTGTCCTGATCATCATACTAATAATGCCAATAGTTTTGGTACACAACATTCAACTTCAACATATCTATTTAACATCCTATAATACAAATGCAAACACACACACACACACACACACACACAGGACTCCTGCAGTTCCCAGTGCAGAGGGAAGCACGGAAGACTCTATAGGATTTGCTCTGCCTTGGAAAACAAGCCAAACAGGGGAGAGGGGCCCAGTGGCTGAGGAGGCACCCCACTCACCTGAGGTTAGTGGGAGTGAGGAGATCACAGAGGGAGGGAAAGAGCAACTTCGGGAGCTTGCTACCCAAATGCCAACATTACTATGCAATGCCAGCTGGTGACACGTTGCTATAGTAACTTCAAATAATGTGCACGACCAAAATAAAATAAAATATAGAAAGTGCCAAGGAGAGGAGACGGAGGAAAGTTTGCAGGCCGAGGGAGGCTCCTAGGGAGATGGAAAGTTCTTCCCAGGGGCTACGCTTTGGAGACTAGAGGTGGACAACATGTCCCTCTCAGGTTGCTTCTCTGCTCACCCCTTGCCTGCCATGTGGTTATGTAACGGGTTTTATTCTTGGATAAAGCTAGTGCTGTCTGTGTGGTGATCTGGGACTGGAGGTGGGAGGGACGGTGCCAGGAGAAACAAGGACTCTAAAACCCATTCATCTTAGAACTTCGTCAGGCTGCTCGAGTTGTAATTTGGAGTACTCTTCAGGGCAGCCAAGGTGCACGTTCTCTCCTAGCAACCACCAAGTTCCAGACACCATGCTAGGTACCAAGGGAGCAGCCGTGAGCAGGACAAAGGGCTCCTATCTGGTTCTGCCAGGACGTAGAGTCCAGAGTGGGTCCTGGGAAACAGCCCGAGTTCAGACCTCAGCTGACCTCCCTCTGGTCGTGTGACCTTGAGCAGGGTCTTGTACCTCAACTGCCTCATCCATTGAGGAGGAGAAAAACATTTCTTACTTCACATGGAATAAAGGGTTAAAATGAATTCCTGTCAAGAACTGAGAATGCAGAAAGCCCCCAATAACTATTAGCTAGTTTTATTATTGTCTTGTTGCCGACGGTGGTCCAGAAAAATTAGGCAGATTAGCTAATTAAAATTCCTAACCCCAATGGAGGAAATGATGACTCCGTCTACCCATGACTACCTGTGGACACATCAAGTGCTCGCAGACGCAGCTCGAGGGCCACGTGCCCTTCAGCTGGGAACAAGCCTCGGGTTGCAACATGCCTCGAGTCCAGCTGTTCAGTAAATCGAGTGTGTGCCTCTCAGAGCAGAGCATGCTGGGAGAGTTCTTTTATTTGGGGACAGCGCTGGCAGGTAGGAAAAGTGACAACAGTGTCCAAATTGTTCAAAGGCAGGAAATACAACTGTCTTTATTGAAAACTCAAGTCTCCCAGCTGTTTGACCGTAGGAGGTGGCTGTCACTGTGCCGTGACGTTCTTCAGCTACCCAGGGGACCCTGCTGTGTGACAGAGTAAACCAAGTTACCTTTCTGCTTGGGGACGTGGTTTGTTGGGCACAGAGTCAGGGGTTTGGTGTGATCTGCTCCATGTTAAAGGGGCAACATCACAGGAAAGTGGAAAGGTGCCTCCTGGATGCTGTATCCTCTGGATGTCCCCTGACATGTCCTGTCTATGCACACGGTGCACCAGGAGGGTCGGCTGCAAGCACCCTGGCCTGACACGGTGGACATTAGAGATGGGTCAGCTCTCCAGGCTACAAGCACAGTGTCCCCTCAGAGAGCCATCCTGGCTGACCAGGGGCAGGAGGAAGGCGTGGCGAGGCTGATGGAAACCAAGACTAGGCGAGCAGCTGTGTCCCCACAGACGCTTCCTTTGAAGCCTATACCTCTGGCCCTGGCTGGAGCCCGTGCTGTGGCTCTGCAGTGTTAGAGCGCTTTAAATCTTCCCAGGGACACAATGGGGTGTTCAATCCGGGGGGAGGAGGTGGAAAAAAAGCAAGTCCCATTCCGCCTCCTGGTGCCCAGGTCTCTCCCTTCATCTTCTCCTGAATCCTCTTGGCAATGCCACGGGGTCGCTTTCCACCCATTTACAGAGGAAGAAAGTGAGATACAAGGAGGCCAAGCAGGCATGCCAGTGTCTTCCCAGACGGGCATTTAGGAGGTGGCAGTGCAGGAACTGAGAGCGGGTCCTTCTCCCTCTGACACTGAGTTATTGCCTGGCCCCTGTCGGCACCGGGAAGAGACCTAGACGTTCTTCACTGCTGTATCTCTAGATCTAGAATCAAACTTGCACATTGCAGGGGCTCAACAGACATTAGATGAGAAACTGAATTTACTGTAGCATCCCCTATTCTACAAGAATGTCCCCTCCATAAACTCTGAAAAGCTGGGGTCATACATTGACCACCTTTACTCCAGTAAAGGCCAGAAACCCAAGAAGTTTTTGCTCTAATTCTGGCCTTCTGGTTCCTTAACTAGGACTGGTTTCTTAAACTATGTCCTTTCAAGCCAGAACGACATCACTCTTTCACACATTTCTTCATCCAACAAGTATTTCTTGAGTACCTACTATGTGCTGGGCATGGTTCTGGTGGTGGGTACTCATCTATGAACAAGGTTCATAACAGATTTGCTCTTGAGGATTCATGCTACTAGAGAAGTGTTACAGAGCAATGGAAAGATGGAAGGGAACTATTTTCAATAGGGTAGCAGCAGCCTCTTTGTACACTGACGTTTGAGTTGAAAACTTGACTGCTGAGAATGGCTGACGCAAACATCTGGAATGGCATCCTGGTCCAGTGAAGAGCAGGTGCAAAGACCCTGAAGTGGGGACGTGCGGGGCTGCCTGCAGAGCCCGGAGAGGACTGAGGGGGCGGTGAAGTATGTGAGGAGTCAGAAAGACAGGCAGGAACTGGGCCCCTTGGGTCCTCGGGGATCAGGGTGAGAGTCTGGATTTTGTTCTAAGTGCAAAGGGAAGCTCTCCCCCTGGGCTTTAGGAAGCGTGCTCTGGTGCAATGTGCTACCAGGTTGACTCTAAAGAAGCAGTTTCGGTGCCTTAGCCACAAGTCCATCTCCACGGCCCTGTTGGAGTTGTTCCCAGGGTTGTGGGTCTATAGAACGTGCAAACTCTATTCTTAGTGTTGACACTTCTTCATTCCTGTGGTGCCTTTCTCCTAGCAAACACTTCTCATGAAATGATAATTTTGTAGGAGAATCTGGCCCTCTTCTGGAGGAAGTGGACATGAATTCTCTT